TAGTAGGTGCAAATATGTTTTGCTCTTTTTTTCTGGGTAATTTGTTAGGAGCTGTGGAGAAAGTCTGGGTGAAAGGGATGGGCTTGATTTGATGACACGATGTTTGAGTCATTCCTGGCTTTCAATTATTCATGCCACCCAGGTCTCTCTTGGCCAGCGGATAACAAGGATTTAGTTCATGACGAGCAGCTGTCTTCGAGGTGGGTGAGTCAGGCAGGGGACAGGAGGGGAGCTTCAAAAGAATGGAAATGGAATTTGCTTTGTTTTCAGCATTATTTGGTGATTGTCTTTGTCTCATTGCCAATTTGGAAATGTAATTGACACTCCAGGTCCTGAATGGATGTACTTAACATCCTCATCTCCCTGTAAGATCTCATTACCTGTATGACTAATGCTTCTTTACCTGGCCAAACGCGAAATTATTTAAGACATCTCATTTACTTTCTGTTCTCTGTGCTGTTTCACTGGGCTCCCTACCATGTTTTCTGAGGGACCCAGATCTGGCTTACTCTGGACATGTGAAAGCTAATCAGCAGACATGCCTGTATTCCTTTCTTCGCGCCTTCCTTCTGCTTTTCACCCTTTACTTCTTTTTTCCTTCTGTAGTGACTTTTGCTAAGTCTGGGAGCAGAGAGACTGAAGTTGGCAGGTTAGTGGACAACAAACAGGAACTTGGTCTCACTAGTTGAGAAGCACGTGGTATTATGAAGTCACAGAGGTGGAAGGGAGATTTGGGCCTGGATTCTACTTCCTCCCCGGTGCCGGTGCTGGGAGCTCTGTGCCCCATCATCATTGGGGATGGGGGTGTTCATGATCTCCTGAGGCCACTGTTTCATGGAGGACAAGCCCACCTTAGAATGAGTGGAGAGAAAGAGTTTTCTCCTTGCACTAGCCCCTCTTTGCTTCTGGTCTGTTTCCATGACACCCAGAGCCAATCTCAGTGGAGAGTAGATTTCAGATTCTAAATCCAGCCCAGGGAGGCCAAGAGCTGGGTGGTGGTTAATGGCAGCTATGTTGTGGAGGGGTAGAATGCCCATAACGGTGTTGCTCCTGTGAAGGCCACTTTCTTTTTCTCTTAATGACTTGCTGGTGTCCTTCACCTGGGGTAGTGAGAGTTTTCCTTGTCCTATTCCCCGAAGTTTGGAAGGTGTCCCATTTTGGCCGTTGGTTCTGATAGTTTGCCCTCCAGGATGTGTCTGGTCTTGTTAGACGCTGCGGGTGGAGGTTTTGGCTGTCCCCGGGCCATCACGTCACCTCTTTGTCAATGGTACATGCACTGTGTTCCAAACTTCAGCTTCCTTCATAGTTTAGTGCTGGTCTTGGCTGGGAGCAGATGTGAATCAGGGGCCATGCCAAGAATCCAGATGTAGAGTGTGGATCCTTTGTTAAGAAGCCGGAGGCGGACTCTGCTTTCTAGGTGTCGGCTCTTCCCAAAGGGCAGAGAGCAGATAGTGATCTGGGGCCTCTTTTTGTACCATTTAAGGACGGTTGCTCCCTAGAATCAAGGCTTGTCCCTCCCAACTGCTCATCTTACGCCTCTTCTCTGGGCTTCCATATACTAGTTCTGCCATTTCCCCTGGTTCGCGTAACAGAAGGAAACCAGAAAAGGAAGGAGAACATGCAAGAGGAGAAGGTGAGGGAGAGTAGGGGGGAGAAGGAGATGTTCACACCAAGAAAAATATAATTTCTTTTCTGGGAGCTAGAGGTTGGGTAAATATATAATTGGGTGGATTTTGTTTTTAGTTCCTGCACCTTTGTCTTAACGAATAAGTCATGACAAGTGACCTCACCCCCAAAGAGAGAAGTGTTATAGAAAGACCGGTAGAAAGAGTGTTTTCACTGTGGGAAGATTTTGGCTTTTCCAGTGAAAAGCATTGTCTGGTGAACTGATAGCATGGGGCCCCGGGTGGCCTGTGGCCCAGATCCTGGGAGTCACGGGGCTCCGTGGGGGTCTTTTCTATGTACACGTTACACAGGAGCAGAGTTCTGCCCCTCTTCAGGAGCAGTTGCTGCATTGATTTATTTTCCCTTCATGTGACTTTGGAGTATAGACCCTTTATGGCTCTGGAAGGGGAAAAAGTGGGCGTCTAATGATGATCAAGTGGAAAACTCAGAGAAAGGACTCTCAGGCTTGGAGGAAGGTTTGGAAGATGACAGGGTTTATCCAAGTGCTGGGGAGTTTCGTGACCAGTATTAGCTGGCTACAGCTTTATATACATTTTTCTTTTCTTTTCTTTTTGCATCTGGGAGCATTTTCCTCATAGTGTTTAAAGGAATTGTTTTAGCTACCCATGCATTATGGCCTTTCATCCTGTGGATTGTGTCAGCCACAACTGATCAGGTGTAAGATTCTCAACGGGTATAGGAATGGTGTCTTTAGCTGAACCTACAAGAGAAGTCAGTGGTTTGCCTCAGTATTAAAAATGGCATCCTTTCCTTAAGCTCGGGTGCAACCCTATTTTCCTTGTAAGATTTCTTTTTTTTTTTTAAACTAATATAGTATTATATTAGTTTCAGATATACAACATAATAATTTGATTTTTGTATATATTGTGAAACAATCACAATAAGCCTGGTTAATATCTGTCACCTTACAGAGTTAGAGATTATTTTCTCTTGTTCTGAGACCTTTTAAGATCTACTCTTTTAACAACTTTTGAATATGCAATACAGTATTATTGATTATAGTTGCTTTGCTACACATTATCCCCCCATGACTTATTGATGTTATAAGTGGAAGTTTGTATCTTTTGATTCCCTTTACATCATTTCATACACCCTGCATTCCCAGCCTTTGGCAACCACCAGTCTGTTCTCTATATCTTTGAGCTTGGTTTTCTTTCTTTTTTTTTTTTTTCCTTTCTTTTTGGTTTCCACATATAAGTGAAATCATATGGTATTTCTTTTTTCTGTCTGACTTATTTTACTTAGCATAGTACCCTCAATAACATCCATGTTGTGGCAGATGGCAAGATTTCATTCTTTTTTTATGACTAAATGATACTCCATTGTCTGTGTTTTCTTTCTTTCTTTCTTTCTTTCTTTCTTTCTTTCTTTCTTTCTCTCTCTCTCTCTCTCTCTCTCTCTCCCTCTCTCTCTCTCTCTCTCTCTCAAATCACATTTTCTTTATCCGTTCCTCCATTGATGGACACTTAGGTTGTTTCTATATATTGTGTCTTGTAATTAATACTGCAGTGAATATGGGGATGCAGATATCTTTTTGAGTTAGTGTTTTTGGTTTCTTTGGAGAAATTCCCCAAAGTCGAAATGCTGCATCATGTAAAAATAGTAGCTCTATTTTTAATTTTTTGAGGACTCTCCATACTGTCCCCACAGTGGCTGCACCAGTTTACATTCTTACCAACAGTGCACGAGGACTCCCTTTTCTCCACATTCTCGCCAGCATTTTTTATTTCTTGTCCTTTTGATAATAGCCATTCTGACAGGTATGAGGTGGTATCCCATTGTGGCTTTGATTTGTATTTCCCTGATGATGAGTGATGTTGAGCATCTTTTCATGTACCTGTTGGCCATCTGGATGCCTTCTTTGGGGAAGTGTCTATTCAGATCTCCTGCCCATTTTTTAAATTGCATTGTTTTTGTTTTCTTTTGTTATTGGGTTATATAAGTTCTTTATGTACTTTGGATATTAACTTCTTATAAAATACATGATTTGCAAATATTTTCTCCCATTCAGCAGATTGCCTTTTTATTTTGTTGATAGTTTCCTTTGTTGTGCAAAGGTTTTTTTTTTTTTTTTTTTTAGCTTGGTGTAGTTCCACTTGTTTATTTTTGTTTTTGTCGCCTTTGTTGTTAGTGTCAAATCTGATACATCACGACCAGGACCGATTTCAAGGAGCTGACTGCCTGGGTTTTATGGTTTCAAGTCTTATATTCAAGTCTTTTATCCATCCATAAGATTCATTTTTTAACTTCAGTGTTTTATACTTTTGTCCTTAATCCTAAAGGCAATGTATGTTCATTGTAGAAATGCACAGAGAGGCATTAGGAAAAAGAAAAAAAAAAAGGAGACCTCACACCTACTAGGATGCCTACTATAAAAAAAAAAAAACAGAAAATAACAAGTGTTGGCTAAGCTTTGAAGATTTGGAATCCTTGTACACTGTTGATGGAAATATAAAATGATGCAGTCACTGTGGAAAAAAGTATTTGTGGTTCCTCAAAAAAAAAAAAAATCAAAAATCGGATTGCCATATGATTCAGCAATTCCACTTCTGGAGACCCATGTTCATAGCAGCGTAAAAGCCAAAAGGTGGAAGCCGCCCAAATGTTGACTGACAGATGAGTGAGTGAACACAATGTGGTCTGTACATGCAGTGGAGAACCACGCAGCCTTATAAAGGAAGGAAATTCTAAAGCATGCTACAACGTGGATGAGCCTTGAGGATGTTACGCTAAGTGAAAGGGGCCAGACACAAAAGGACAAATACCGTATGATTCTACTTTATGAAGTACCCAGAATAGTCGAAGTCATAAAGACAGGAGTAGAACGGTGGTTACCAGAGGCTTTAGGAAGGAGGGCAGTGTGGGCAATGGGGCGTTGTTTAATGGGTACCAAGTTTCAGTTTTGCGAGATGAAAGCATTCTGCACAACAATGTGAATGTACTTACTACTACTGACCTGTACACTTAAAAAAATGGCTAAGATGGTTAAGTTCTATGTTAGGACTATTTTACCATACAGGAAAAAAAAGAAAACGAAAGGAAAGAGAAATTGCTCCCAGTCCTCCCTCCTGGAGATGACCCCCCATTATCTTCAGGTACATTTTCCTCCCAGACACATTCTCCACCGGGGTGCTTGTGCTTGCATTGGGGCAGCTAGTAATTTTCCTCTGAGGGTTGGTGAATGGGAGTCCCCTGAGAAGTGCCCAGCCTGGCCTTTTTTGCCTGAGGTGCTGTCCACACTGACAGCAGAGCAGACAGGACAACTGTCCCTCTGCTGGCGGAGTCTGATTTGATGGTGTCTGTTCTGAGCGTGAAATTTTTTTTATTAAAAATTTTTTTTAATGTTAATTTATTTTTGAGAGACAGAGAGCAGGAGCAGAGCAGGGTCAGAGAGAGAAGGAGACACAGAATCCAAAACAGGCTCCGGGCTCTGAGCTGTCAGCACAGAGCCTGATGTGGGGCTCGAACCCACGAACCATGAGATCAGGACTTGAGCCGAAGTCAGATGCTCAGCCGACTGAGCCACCCAGGCGCCTCTGGATTTTTGATTTTAACACACGAGTGGCTCTGGTGTCTCAGGCAAGTCATTGTCCCTGGGCCTCAGTTTTCACTGTGTAACATGTTCTCAGATTCAGTGATTTCAAGAGCTATCCATTTCTTCAGTCAGATTCTTTATCATTTGTGCCTGATAAAGAACCCAGTGGTAAATCATTCAAGGTAAATGGGCAGTTCTGGTTCTATCATAAATCACAAGATTGAAATCTGACTGATGTGTCCCCGAAACATCAATATTGACTTCGACGAGATGGCATATTTGAGAATTACAATCTGAGGACAGACGCCCTTTTGGAAATATCATCAAACTTGTCATTAAAAAAAAAGTCTCAGGAATAGTATTTCGTGACTCTGCTATTACTTCGAAGGAAATAGCCACATCACCATTGAGGTTTTAGTTTTAATTTTGGGGGTGGAGGCCAGGTTGAAAACATCTTAGATTATAGACTGTAAGTGGTATGCCATGATAGGCTGGCTTGGTTGAGGTTAGGCATAAAAAGAAACATCTCATTAAAGAGGAGGTCACACCAATCAACCTACTTTGATGCTTTTCTTTGACTTGCCCCAGAAGGCAACCCCAGGGTGAGAATGTTCATCTGGGCTCTGTTCCATGGAGCATTTCAGCCACAAGAAGTGGGAGGAGATGCCCAGAGCTTCTGTGGCAAAGGAGCGAGTGTCTGAAAGGATGATCCCCACATCCCAATGATTTCTGAAATAAAATCCTCCCCACCCCCAAATCGTAAACAACCAGCACATCAGAAGTACTGAATAGTCTTAGGTTACATAACATCAATTAGATCATGCTACAGGGGCCATGTATTACATTTTAACTCGTCACAGATACATTACGTTAGCACTTCGCAGATCCACAGGGTCCCAGGCAGCTTTGGGGTATTATTGAGTGAATTGGTGATTGTGTAGGACTTGACGAAGCCCAGACAAAAATACTTCTTTAGATTTTTCCGTATTGTCGTTACACTCTTATTAGGGGGTGCAGACATCCTGCAAATATTTCTTACAGAATAAGCTAAAAATTTAGACAGTGGTTATTGTATCGGTTGTACTGAATGGTTGATTTGTGGCCGTGAACCAGATACGACAGATTTTTAAAACTCCGGGAACCTTTACATTTTCCAGTGACAGGCAGTGCAAGCACTATATTTTTAATTGGTCCCTTCTTTTAAGTCAGGAGCTGAAATGTTATCATGCAAATCTCTCCTGAGTTGCATGGAAACTAATAAAATCACAAAGGTTTCTATTTGTACGCTATGAACACAGACTGTAACGAAGCCGAAACAGCGATCTCTAGGGGATGATGCTATTTAAATGCTAGGCAGGGCTTTGAAACGATTCTAATGGTGAAGAGAGAGACCAGCAAGGGAGTGGGTCCCGTTCTTTCCTCCCCACCTCTCAGTGCCTGTTCACCCATGCTCCTCTTTACTTCCTGACCTCAGAAAGAATTAACTTAGAACAAAGACCTCTAATCTCTAGTACATCCTGTCTGTTACCTGTTGTAGCAAACAGCAGTGAATTCTCAGACATTCTCTCTTAGCCACTTTCTCTTCCTCCTTAAGTCATTGCATTGATCCTACACTTAGTGGTGCTTTTGTTTTGGTAAGTCTATGTGAACTGGAGTAATTGACTTCTTAGGGGAAAAAAAAATGGTAACAAACTTTTTTTTTTGAGTAGTTACTATGCATCAAGCACTGTCTTAAGCTCCTTATGTTTATGATGTTATTTAACTTTGAAAACACTCCTATGGGGCACTCAGTTGGTTGAATGCCTGACTCTTGAATTCTGGTCAGGTCATGGTCTCATGGTTTGTGAGATCGAGTCCTGTTGTGGGGCTCTGCACTGAGCATGGAGCCTACTTGGGATTCTCTCTCTCTCTCTCTCTCTCTCCCTCCCTCTCCCTCTCCCTCTCCCTCTCCCTCTCCCTCTCCCTCTCCCTCTCTCTCTGCTCCTCCCTGCCTCATGCTCTTGTGCTGATTCTCTCTCAAAATAAATAAACTTAAAAACACAGTCGTATGGAGTAAGCACGTTTATAATCCCCGTTTTGTACATCAGAACAGCGAAGCATAGAGAATATGTGTGAATTTGGATAATAGATTTTGAGTCCTTACTATGTGTCTGATGGTTTCTAAGCCCTGCATGCTGTTATCTTATTTTAATCCTCACAACACCCCGGAGAAGTAGGTGGTGTTATCAGATTAGGAAACTGAGGCATGGAAAGGAGAGTAATTTTCCCGGGGTCACACAGTAGTGAGGGGCCAAGCCAGGTCTAAGTCCTGGTGGGCAGGCAGTGGACCTTGCACATCTGACCCTTGCACTGTCCACATGCAGGTGTACCACCTGTAGTGGTAGATTGGCTCTGCTTAGCTCATCTGTGCCACAGAGTGAGGGAAAACATTAGGGCATAGATAGATAGGACTGAAGAGAAGGGTTGGTGTGTGGAGACTCATGTACCATCCCTAGATGAGGTGTGAGACCCCTTGCACAAATTCTGAGAATTCTGTACTATGACTAGAAATGAACCTTAAAGATTATCTAGTCCTTCTAATCTTTCTAACTCTTGCTTTTCTTTGCTGGAACAAAGTCAGGTATGCTGTGTGCAGTTGTACAGGTTGCTCACTGCACAACTCTAGGGCTGCTATGAGATTCATATCAGATAATACATAATTAGACTTCTAACTATGGCCCATGTGCCATACATCTCTCTATGTTGGGGGGTATTTGGAGGCACAGAATAAATATGGGGCATTTTTTCTGAGTATCAGTCTTCCTTTAAGTTTTGAATAAAACCACTTTTTTTTTTTTTTTTCCCTGAGGTAGGCTCCACAACCAACGCTGAGCTGGTGCAGGGCTTGATCTCACAACTGTGAGATCATGACCTGAGCTGAAATCAAGAATCGGACACTTAACTGACTGGTCTACCCGGGTGCCCCCAAAACCACTATTTTTAATATTTACACATACATGGGAGATATTAGGACTAGGATGCAGAATTCAGGCATATTTTTAAAAGCTCGAGGTGTGTGTGGCGTGTGTGTATTTGTGCATGCATGTGCAGGAGGGCATGGAGGGTGGAAGAGTCTGACACCCCCAGTAAAGCCTGATCATTAGACTATGAACCTGAGCGTCGTGATGTGGAATGAGTCCCTATTCTTCCCACATACAGTTTGCTCATATCTCAAACTCTGAAACTGTGTTATTAAAAGAATGGGACTTCTATGAAAAGCACGTAACTATATCTGAATTCCCTGATCTGTTATAAATAAAGTGCATTTCAGATGTCGGTGGGGCAGAGAATTTAATCTGTGCACTCAGAAGAAGGTAGTGCTAACTCATTCAGTGGTTATGAATCTTCCCTTGCCTTAGAAAGATCGATTCCTTGCCGCTCTCCACCTCCAAAGCCTGGAAATACATTATTGTATCACAACATGGATTTCTTTCTAGACCATTGGGTATTGTGGCCTTGCGTCTGCCAGACCCTGTGCACAATATCTGGAAGCAGGAGATGAGCTGGTCAGTCTGTGAATCTTTATTATCTTGGCTATCCTCTTCCCAGGGATACAGATTTGCATAAGGCATTGTTTCCTCTCAGGCAACGCCAGTAGCCACGTTGTGTGATTCCAGGGCCGCCATCCACATCATAAGTGTGAACAATGCCCCTGGAATTGTGCAGTGTGCGCCTCACATGTCCATACATGTGACTTTTCTAAGTGTCTAGCTGGGCTGGTATACACTTACATAAGAAATGAAGAACAGGGTAAGGCCCATAATTCTTAATGGCCAAATAAGTAAGAGAAAC